TGCAAAACAAGTGGGATATATAGATGTCATATTGAATGAAATAGTTTGAATGTTTGTAAAGGTTGCCCATTAGCCAGTTTCAGGAAGAAGATAGGATTTATCTCCTTATCTAGCTCATTGTTTTGGAGCTACGTGCGAAATGTCCTGACTTCACTTAAAGTCTTAATTTAAATTGTATCTTTAGAAATTTTTTACAAAGAAAGCAAATGTCCTAAATTCCGAGACATCAAAGCCTAAGGCCTTTTAACCAAATTGCTAAGAAAAGAGTATTTACAGTGATATGGAAGTCTCCCCAAGAATAATTTAAAATGCTCAACAAAGGTAATTTCTGTTGAGTAAGATCCGAGCCCAAATTTGGGAGGTATGATAAATTGAGTAGGAGGAGCCCAATGATGGCAGCTCACTCAATAAAAACCTGTAACTTACTGTCCCAATTTGGAGGTGACTTCACTTGCAGAACAACGAAGGAAGAATCGCAAGTATAAGGTCAGATTAGATTGATCACCTAATCAAGCCTCTCCGTGAACACGAATCCCTTAGTTCACGCGGAAGCCGCAGAGTGCCCGAAAGGGACTGAAGGAAGGGGACGTAGTCCTATCACTGGTAAGCCCAGCTCATTGAATCGTATTGCTGAGGCCAGCCCATTGAACCGTACTACTGAGGAATGAAACCATATTTTGGTATTTGGCTTCTCGGAATTCTAGGATTGTAAGTATATTATGAAAAATAACAGTATTGATTCAAATTTAACTTTTAGTTGTAATTGTAGTTGTTTTTGTAACACTAATTCTTATAGCATTGTTTGGGAAGGAAGTGGATTCAGAGCATTGTTTCTGATATATGTAATTATTGTGTTTTTAATGTTTGTGGTGTTTCTTAAAGCTAAGCAGTGTTATATACGTAGCAAAGAGTTTTAAAATAAAATTGTGTTGTATAAATTAAGTGTGTAATCATTGTGAAATCGTGCAATCAGCTAACTACTCCCCCAGCCAGTGCATCAAAACGAATCAGTAAATTGTGTGGGATTTTCTCTATTCCATAACCCACTAGAGACAATAGAGTGACACTGAAAAAAATGTCAGCCACTGCAGGGGCTGTAGCCACACACTCACGCCAGCAGCAGCAAACATAAGTTACCATGGCCCCTGTAATTACCCCTCTGTGCAAAACATTGGAAAGATAAGTACTTTACTCATTTTCAAAACATGGCATTGATTCCGATTTCTGTACAGGATAATCTATTCAAATGCTACAGTATAACACTGATTATTTTTTTAAGTTACACAACTTACATTTAGAAAAGATATCAATGCTATTTCAGATAAAGAAATGAAAAATAAGTGTTCTATTCCTGAAAGCCATAAGGCAGTTATAGAAACAAAAGCATCAGACCAGAAAATGCTACAAGGGTAAAAGTTACAGGATAATAAAGGTGTGACTGATAAAGTCAAGAGAAAAAACTTCCTTAGCCAATCATCTGAAAGTAAAAGAGCATGCCAAATAAAATCAAGATTCTTTTGTTTGCATAGAAAGATGTAAAACTTTCACACTTAACTGGCACAGAACTCTTCAGAGAAAGGTTTGCTACTTATGGGTTACAATCTATTTTATGACAAAACCTACCAAATTAATGACAGTATAGAAAAAAATTTTAGCTACAAATTAAATCCTTACTTTTTAAAACAATTTGCATGTGTATGTGCTTGTGAGCATTCATGTAAGCTCAGTAGAGGTAAGTGTTTTCGTCTGAACCACTCTAATTTTCAGGGTGTTTTTTAAGGTAACTTTTTATATAATTTCTGTAATTAATGGAAAATATTCTTCATCAGGTGTAAGAAACACAGATAAGTAAATAAATAAGACTCATTTAGAGAATTTAACAATCAATAAGGACTATATGTAAAAGCTGAAATGAGAATGTAAAAAGGCTTGAAATGACAGTCCTCATAAAAACAAATTACTCAAAGGACACTTTAGTATATACCAAAATAACATTAGTAAAATAAAATTATGTGCCCATCAAAAAGAAAACAAAAACTAAATTATGTTATCCTCAACATCTGCTCCTAAGGATTTTAAAAGCCACAGGAGTTAACTGCACAGCTTGAATCAGTACTTTGCTCCATTCACTAGGGCCTAGGAAAAGAGTTTTGACAGTCCACTGAAATGGTAATTAAACATATATGTTAGTTCTCTGTTGGAGTAATGTATTCACATTTGAGCTTAGATAAGCCTGGGACTTTTCTTCCATTCCAGGTTAAAAAAAATAATTCAAATGACTATTACTACTCTTTGAGGCAGCCTGCAGCCCTTCACATAAGCTTACTTGGTAACTGATGGATGGCAAGGACAATATTCTGCTGCTTTTGCCCACTAAACTTTTCAGATATGTCTAAAAACACATTAGAGCCATCTCCACTCTTACTGGGATTACTTTGATCCTATCAATGATACAGCTGAAAAATAGAGATCTTACAGCAAAATAAATATGATAACATTTATGGCAGTTATTCATGCAGAAAGAAAAAATACTATCCTAAATTCTGGAGAGAAAATTAAACAAATGGAATTATTTTAAGTATCTGCAAGTACAGTGATGTAGGATTCAGGTACGACATAAATCCCTGTTAGTCATAACTCTCACTTAAGTAATCAAAAGCTCAGAGTCACGTGGTAAGTTTTACTTAATGCTTTCGCATACTCTCTTCAGACTTGCTAAGTCCTTCATCAAATATGTATTTGTTAGGGCCACAATCCAAAAGAACCCTCAAACCTATACTTAAATTTTAAACATATAATTAATCCTACAGTGTGGCTGCTTATGTTGTCTTCAGCATTTTGCTAGACTGAAGCCCAAGTGAACATTAAACCTATTATTTTCTGCTCTTTAATAAAGAACCAGTCCTCATATGCAGTAAATAGAAACACACCTCAGTACTAGAAAAATTTACAAGCTCAGCCTCTGGGCTAAGAATAAATGTCTTCAGGGAAATTAATAAGTAAAAATTATGGAGAAAAAGATTGAAGAGGACCAGGTACCCTTCTAATGTTATGACTGAGATTTGCATTCATATTAATTAGAAATGTGGCAGTTAGTCCTCCTGAGCGCCCCCAAAATTTACCTGTAAAAGTTTACTTTACTTTGACTTCCTTTTGATTGAAAAATCAAAATTTTACATAGGAGTAAAAAGAGAAAAAGTTCAAAGTCAGTAAAAATAAAAAGGAAGTTTTCTATATGCAATACATGAATGTACACAAATATACAGATATATATTGCATATATATGAACTACACATATCTCAAAGAAATATGAAGAGAAAAGCAGTGCTGGTTAAATCCATTGCCTTGCCATGATTCTGTATGAATAATACTACATATGAATTATATAGGTTGAGTGTGTACTTTCTTGTATTTTGATTCCAATAAACTCAGTTCATGAACCAGTTATCTGCATCCTGTCTGGTAAAGGAAACTAGTTTAAATAAGCAGGTTATTTTAACCTTGGATAGATAGATTTTTTTAACCTTAGAGTCTACAGTATTTTATACACATGTAAAGAAAGACTTCCAGTTGGATTGAATGCGATTAATTCAGTTTTTCCCTTTTTATAGTGCAACGTGTAGGCACTTCAGAAAAGATGAGAGAAAACCTTACTTTTTTTTTTTTGCATAGGACAAAAATTTCTTGTTTGATCTGCATTGGAGAATGCATCTGTCTATTGCATATTCTGCCACAGTTGAGAATAATTTGAATAATTCATATGGAACAGATGCAGAATAGTCAGTAGAGGACTAGAGTATGCATGAGGGAGAAGAATTATGACTTTAATCTGCATTTGAACTCTACTTCCAAAAGGTGAAGATGCAAAGGTTTATTCAGTGTTTCACCATCCAGACTCTTCCACCTTGAATCCTCTATGCTGTATTTAGCTAAACATACTTCTGCAAAAAAGCAGCAGCAGCCTTTTTCCAGGAAGTTCATAAAAAGCCAGCTTATTTTAAACCTAGAAAACTAGAAAAAACAGCGCAATTGTTTGCTGTTTAGTTTGTATGAAGTTTGATTTTTGCCTTATATTTATGAGGGTTTCTACTAATAATTTCATGCATGCGTCTCATTTCATATCATATTTTTGCAGGAAAAAGACATATAGGTAATTTTAAAAAAGATTCTTCTATTTTGCTGATGATTTTATTTATTCCTCCACTTTTCATTGTCCATCAAAGACAATTCCAAGTCTCTGCACATTAAATAAAAGGTCTGTCCAACTTTCCTTACTGCTATAAAATAGACCTTGCATCTATACATTGGCATAGCTACTGTACTACACCCATTTATGTAATTCACTAAAACTTTCTTACCAAGAGATATAGATCCATGATGTAACCACAAAAACTTTGTAAGATCCTGTCTGTTATACTTAAACCCCAGGTCACCCGCTTATGATCAGTTTTTTCTGATCTTACAAAGACATTACAATATTGTTTCAGGGAAGAAATCTCACTAAGGAACCAGCAGAAATAGTACAGTTTCTCAGCAGGTGTCATTATAATTTTAATCATTGAGAGATGAATTCTGGTGAGGTCATAAAAAAAATATCAGTTAAAGAATAGGAGAAGATGACTAGTAAATCCCTACTTCCCCAAGTTACATCTTACTTATGAACATTCAGGTGGATTATAGGATATAACCAATATTACTGATCCAGCCTCAGTCATGATGAAATGGGGAGATCATTTTCAATATGATAATCTTACTGCACAACCTTCAGAACCATGACTGGAAGGCTAATTGAAAACTATATTATAATAATGGAGAATGATAAGGAAGAACAAACCTACGCAAATATCTGGAAAATATCTTAAATATACTCCTAAAAAACTTGAGTATTGCAAAAGCAGTGCAACTTTCTGATCATTATTCTCTCCTTTAAAATTGAATTTAGATATCTTGTAAAGCTAAAAAAAAAAAAAAAAGGGAGAAAAAAGAAAAATGCATCTTACCTATAATAAAAAGAATTTCCACTGCAATGTCACTGACAGTTGTGCTTCGAGTTGTAGACAGGTCATCATTGCCAATAAAGCAAACGTTGTAAGGTACAGTCACAGCAACATAAAACGTTGCCAGTAAAATAAGCCAGTCCCAGCCAGCTTTAAAAGTGCTATAATGCAACAGTATGAATTTAGACCTTTTTGCATCTGAAACTTTGTATTCTGGAAATGCTGGTTTATCTACAAAAACGTTCTGAAAGAGAATGAAAGAAAGAAAGAAGTCAGGCAACGATATTTCACCATTTAGATTACCTTTTCATGAATTAAATCTAATATATACTTTTAAAAGTAGATCAAATAAATGTCTATTACACTTGCAGTTGGGCAAATATTACAAGGAATCTTGTGCAACTAATCACTAAACTTGCGCAATTACAGAGCCTCAGAGCAGACGCAATCAACTGAGTCTGCCGGAGCATGCTAATTAGAGCACTCCAGCAGCCTCCGCATCTCATGTATTCAGTGTCCTCATGCTTCAGGATGGTGGCAGGAGTGCTCTAATGAAAGTTCATCAAATAAGAAGCTTTAGTTAAAGTGCCTCCAACACCATTGTGAAGCATGGGATGCTAAATACAGGAGCTGCTACAGGCACTTTCATTAGAGTGGATCTCAGAGTAGCTGTAATAGAACCCCCTCCCCCACCTCCAGAGCATGTATAAAGACACCCTTAAAGTGTCTCTGTAAACGCTTTACTTTCACTTTGTGAATAGTCACTATGAATATTCTGGTGACATGCTTCTTCCAGCAGCCATATTTCCCAAAATACTGAATGTTCAGCAACTAACAAAGCATATTAAAGAAAACTAGATTTTCTACTGAGAATAAGCATCCTACTGATTGCTAGAATTACAAGCATCTATGAGTTACATGTGGTTCGAATGCAAAGTCCAGCCTGTAGGCCAGATTGGACACATGATGGACTCCATTTCCCAGCAGCCCCTGCCTACATCGCTCCAGCTGGTTTCCATGGAGACCATAGAAGCAGTCAGGTTGTAACAGCACAGGGCCAAGGACGTGCAGGCATTGGATTGCAGCTGTGCTCCAGCTCACACTGTCACCACTGCAAAATCCTAGCCAGCCCTGAAACAGCTTCCCACCCAGCCATGCGTCTTGCTTGTGCTGCTTGGGCTAGTCTTCATGGGGACCCTGGCCCCGTGCTGTCAGGGCCCTGCTGTCCCTGGGGTCTCCATGGAAACCGACCAGAGTGACAGGCAGGGGCTCCTGGGAAATGGAATCCATCTGCCCGCCAATCCACCATTTTGCCCGCTCCTGTTTTAATGGTTACATGCACATGTCATATGACCCCCCAAATCAAAACCACTTAAGTAAAAAAATGCCAACCATCATGAATGGTCTATAAACTATCAACAAATAATTCTTGGTTGCACTTCTTACCTGAAAAACCTTTAAAAAATAGCAATGTTTTGATATTTACAGCTGATTCAAAATTAGAACAAGAAACAAAATTTGTTCAATAACTTACTTGTTATGGAATTATCCTAAAGTTTTGTTATAGAAGAGATTTGGTTTCAATTTAAATAGCTTGCATGTATAAATCTTCATCACTCCCTCCCCCTTTATTCTGCTCTAACACAACGGGAAGTTAAATTTAATTGATCCAAGATTTAGTGTTGCCACTAACATATTTGCAGAATTAAGGTGTGAAATAAATACCATATAACCTGAATCAACAAACCTTAACTCAGATGAGTGGTCCTAGTGGTCTCACCGGTGGGTGGCTCTAAGGCAGTGCCCACATATCTGAAAGTGGGTCTTGGAGTCCCTCTAAGTGAACAGAGCATATAGGACCTATGTGCCAAGAACAGATCAATCTTGAATGCAATGGTGTAAATTGTGCAATGTCATAAATGTTGCACTGGATATCTACCTAGCTTATGCTACACTGTGATACTAATGGAATAGCCTGGACTCTGGTGGATTTGTTCCTAATTGCTGATTGTCGGTCCCCCTCAGAAGTCTCATAGCATAGTGTTATAGAGCCTGGGATACAGTTTGACTGCTTCTTGAATGTATCGCTGTGCTTTTAAGACTCTCAGAACCCCTCTACACATGCAGGTAAAGATGCAACAGGCTCTAATGAGCAATCCTGCCATGTCACACATGAATATGGTAGGGAGGTGTGACTGTGAGATTGTGAATCAGATCATATCATGCCTTACTGCCAATGTCGGGGGACTACAATCCCAGGCTCCCCCGGCACCAGCAAGAAGCAAGCTCCTGAGAGGCCCCTCTGTTGACAGGGCTCCCAGCTGCACAGATGGCCCCATGCATCCCAATGGCTGGGAGACCTCTGCAGCTTTGAGATTAGAGCAGCTGTGGTTTCCCAGGCAGAGGGGCATGTGGGGCCCCCTGAAGGTGGAAGCTCCTAAGCTCAAGGGCACACATGCTCCCCTCCCCCCCAGCTGGGAGCTCTGATCAGCTGATGGTGGTCCCAGCCGCAGAGGCCCCTGGCCATATGTTTAATTAATAGAATTAAAGGAAGCAGCTAAAAAGTTATGAGACATAATTTGTGCAGCATCTTTGTAGCTTATTCCACTTTTCATCACTCCATTATTTGACTGAATGTGTAGATGAGTGACCACTTAAGGCCACCAGTCAATCATGCCTTAAGTGTAATGTGTAGATTGGGATCTAAGGATCCCCTTCAGAAGTTTCATAGCATACAATCACTGGGTGCCTGAAGACATGCGGGGAGGCTTTTCCAACCTGCTTTAATTACAGTGTTCAGAGGAGACGCAATTAATCGAGTCTGCTAGAACATACTAATTAGTGTGCTCCAGCAGCTTTTGTGTCTCGTGTATCAGTGTCCAGGGAATTCAAAATGGGGCAGGGATACTTCAACTAAAGTTTGTTTGACAAGCTTTAGTTAAAGCACTCGCTCTACCATTGTGAAGCATGGGGACGCTGATACATGACAAGTTGCAGGCGCTTTAGTTAAAGTGGCTCTTAGAGCCACTCTAATTAAAGTGCCCCACCCCCACCCCTGGAGCATGTGTAAAAATGCCCATGGTGTCATGTTTTAAACCCCTCTATGACCCCACAGAAATCCTGGCAGAGGCTAGATAGTACTACTGGGGCCCAAGCTACATGGTTTGTCCATGAGGAGCCATATATACCACATGAAGACCTTTCTTGGGTTTAAAGGAGCCCATCATCCTATGTCATGATGAGGAAGAAGAGAGTTCCCTACATGCACTTCTGAAAGGTAATCTACCTCTGGACTGGGACCAAGACTGGAAAATAGGAGCCCATTTCACCATCAGGGAGGTTGTTTCAAACAGACTCTCAATGTTGGTGGGCTCTGATGAACTTTTAACCTTGGATCAGACCCAGACCTGAGGGAATTTGTCCAGGACAATAAACTTGGGTACATGTTCTCTCTCTGTCCTTGCTTGTTCTCAGCTTAAATGACCAACAGATTAAGCGTGTTTTCTGGAGATGGCTCTCCCCATAGACAGAAAAGGCATCATATGTGGCCATTTGGTACAAGTCTATCACATGATAGTCATGGATGAACCCCAGAGACCAAAAGTTTATTTGGGTTAGACCATCTAATGTAAAAAAAGTACCCTGACTCCATAAGGAATATGAATGAGTTTAATGCAGGAAAGAACAAGGTCCAGCCAAGTACTGGAAATGAATCCACAAAATACTGTCATCTTGAGGCACTGATGTATTTTTGCAAGGTGCAAAGAGTAGGTACCACAGCGGAAGCCTGAGAGCTGTAAGCTGTGCCTGAACACTGAATTCTCAAATGCATCTTTGTTGACTGGGGAAGGGTTTTATTAGAGTAGGTAGTTGAATGAATAACACATTGCAACATCCCAAATTCCTTTGAGCCTCAGGAAATAAGTGTAGTCAGACAGTTGGCAGGAAGCATAGGATGCCCTTTATCCCTTCAGTACAGGAGATGGAGAAAGGCAGGAGCAGAGTGAAATTGAGAGATGCTGTTAAAGTAAAAAATGTATCTGGTTGAAGCTCAAGGTGAGAGAAATGCCCTCTAGTAAAAGTGTATTTTTTCTTTTGAGTAATTATCCTAATATAATGTTGCTCAAGTAATACAGGAGAGTCCTTAGATGCTTCATGGTAGCATCACTTAAAACCAGATTTCTGTGCACATATTGCTTAGTCGCTAATCCTAAGAAGTGGGTTTAATTCTTAAATAGCCACATGCTTTCAGTAGGGCATCTCTAGGACAAAAAGCTCCTTTTTAAAAAAGGCACAATCCCTCTGACCAAGACAGAAATATAATAATGATAATTTAATTTTCCCAACATTTTAGACATAACTATTTAAGAAAGACAAAACAAAAAACTTTTCTTTCCCTGATGTTATTGATAGGCAATCCTAGAGTATATTGATAGGCAGTGATGTTGGTAAAGGAACAATCCAAGTGTTACTTTATAGGAAGGGAAGGTTAATTAGGATTAGAAAGGGCTAGCGACTGGGCCTTGGAGAATTGTATTGAATACAATAGAGTTTATTAAATGACATGATTCTGCAGGACAGATTAAGAATCCAGAACTGATGATGCTTATGATTTTTTCCTAGTCTCCCTCTTTGACATCTTAATAAAATAAAATGATGCAGAGACTACTTAAGGGAAAATATTTAAATTTTGATTTCTACTATATGAATATCACACATGGTCACTTTCAGACCATATACATTTAGTATGACAAAATACATATTGGATCATGAATGTGTGCCTGCTGTATGAATTGCCCAGTTGGAAAAAACACTTTAAGTCTTTATTCCAACTCCAAGGCGGTATCTGCATCTGCAAATTTCAGTTTTAAGCAGTCTCTTATTGCCACATTTTCACTCTCTTCATCTTTCAACATTTTGACAAAATACTCTTATTCTCCTAAACAGCAGCATCTGGTTCATGAATTTTATCATCAAATTATTTTGCTAATAAAAAATCTTGCTCGCTGTCACTCTGTTCATGGTTAGTGCTGCTACCATCAGGACTGCAGTTTCAATAATGAAGAATTTCACAAAACAGTATATAAATTGGTGTGCATTCAGCAAGCCAAGGTTGCTTCAGTTTCCCGAAGTTATTCAATCTGGAAATAAAAGGATAATTGCATGACTGCAGACTTCATCAAACTTGCTTTATCTGTTGCAACCTCTCCCAATTCAAGTTTTCTTGGAATGCCAATATCCTGT